GATGTGCTACAGATTTTTGGACTCAAAATCTGGCCAGAATTCTTCCCTGGGCTACAAAAACTTTGCACAAACATCCATAAAGGTTTGCTCAGTCCCTCTAGTTGGTGTAAAGTTCAACCTTAAACTGCCCAAAATAAGACCCGAAATCCAAACCAAGAAACAAAATCGCAACCCAAACCCTAACGCAGAAACCAAAACTCTAACCCAAACCTAGAACTTAAGATTAATTAACCAGACCCATAATGGTGTGTATGTTCCATTACAAAAGAACCACTATTTGAACTCCATTTATCGGTTACAAAATCAAAAACCAGTCCTAAATGCAAAAGCCAAAGCCAAAACAGAAAGGTAAATTGTTCCAATCCACGTGTTTCACTGTCACTCAATATCCTCCTAGCCAGGAACCTACTTTAACTAATGGAGAAACCGAGAAAGTAAAATCATGATCCAAACCCAGCTCTGATTTACCAAAGCCTAAAATGCAGATCTAAACCCAAAACCCACTCCCCAAAATCAATTGTTATTTCTTTTGGTGTATATGATTCCCACCCGCTGCCGTGGCAGATCCATTACCACCCACAGCAGAATTAGGCGCACTTGAAGGCACATGCGACTGGGCAATGGCTGCAGTGGATGTTGCAGCACCCCCACCAGGCAGAGGAACAGCTTGGTGCTGGTTCAAAGGAATGATGTATGTGTGTCCGGGCTACAAATAAAGAAACAAACCAAGACATCCTCAAGTTTAATCCACATTTTTAAACAAGGGTGGTAGTAATAAACAATAGAAAAACACCATAATAATCCGAAATATAACAGTTGAAAGGTACAACAATACCAGTAGACTATTGGGTGCAACAGGGGGTGGTAATGGTTGCTGCACAAGAATCTGTTGGTTTCACTGGACGGGATCTGGAATGCTGGATGCTTGAGAGCATTTGTCTTTGCTGCCAAGACCAGGGAAGATGGAAAGTCCATGACCCTTATCCAGCCCGTAGTTCCACCCCTCCCAACAATGTGTCCATTAAACTCAGCCGCAGGCACTGTCACTCAAGAAACGTAGTAGAAAATTTATTTTTTAGTAGATGAGTTCCACCACGTTAAAATTTAAACACAACACAATAACAAAAAATATTACTGTACATATATACTTGGCTGGAGAGTCAATTTCACAATATTCACCTTGGTAAGAGATTTTCCTATTTATTAACCTCTTTCATGTCCTATTTGGTGCCAGGGCTCATGCCGAGTCTTCTTTACTGGCTGGAGCTTGGCGGTACTTTCAACAAAATGGAAATTTCAACGCCTCCACCGATCAACAAAATGGAAATTTCGCCATGTACCGGTATTGGTTTTCCTCTTTTTGTCGGATATCTCCCAAAAAAAATTAGCTTAATATGAACTGCTGCACTCTAATCAAAACCACACTATTACAAATAGGTGCTTAAGGCCATGTGACATTCAAATTCCACTAAACCGGCTATATTTACCATGTCAGATGCCACAGACAATGGTTGGTCTTTATTCTTAAAGCCTGTTAATGTCATATTCATTGCTTTTGTACTTATTCACAATTTTTAAACATGGGAGTAGCTTAATGCACCCCTGCAATTGGTTGTTGGGTTAGGTTCTGGGTAGGGATTTTGTTTCTTACTTTGAGGCTTGGACCTGATTTTGGGTT